TGAGTTTTTATGTAGTGCAGCAGCAGTCAGAATATTGCTTGTCTGCTGGCCTCCTCACAATACTGCATTGCAACACAACCTCTCCAGGCAGAAGTGGCTGGTTTTTCAGATGAAGAAAAGAAAGGTTATGGGATTTTCCTTTTCAGATTTTAAGTTTGAGACAATAGCTGTGGATACTGATTGTAGTGTACATGTTCATCTGATTGAGCAGGTGCAATCCTGTTTCTAAATCCGCTTGACTCCCACTGACTGCCGCAGAAAACTTGGGTCCGAAAAGGTCATAGTGTTTAAGTAAGCGAATTTAGTGGCAGGAATCCTGTTTTGTCAGAGGTTAGGAGATAAATCCTACATGCTGGAAAATACCTGTTTACAAAGGATGTGGCTCTGCTTTTGTAATAGCTGTGAAGCAAACATTATCTAGCATATTGGAATTCAAGAAAACACTTAAATTTGTTTCCCCTCTTTCTGTTTCTCCTCTAGCTCTGGGATTGTACACAGTAAATGCAGTATATGGAGATACTATTACTATGCCTTGTCGTCTAGAAGTACCAGATGGTCTTATGTTTGGAAAATGGAAATATGTAAGTATAGCTTACCTTTACGTTCATTAGAGCTGGTGTAAGAAGATGTGTATTTTTTGTGTGGAAGATTACAGGGCTGAATCAATAGGATTTCTGTCTCAGATACAAAGACATTCACTCTTGTATTTGTAAGACTGCAAGATTCCAATCTGCATAATTTCTGACAAGCATAGATTAGAGGTTTGAAGAATTAATCTCATTGTTCAAGAGAAATAATTATTCAGGAGTTCTCTGCCAACCTATATTAGAGATCTAGCATGTTACCCGGTGGTGCCTCGCTTACCTGACAGAGCCATCGTTGTACATTTGAATACTTTTGAAGTGGGCTGCCTGAAGCAGGGCATGCTTCATCCCTGGGAAAGCACTGTCCCAACTCTGGTTGATCTGACAGTGACTCGGTACTGTTTCATGCTTCAGTGTGTTTAACGCACAGCGAAGAGGAGGGCAGACGTGACCTTAGTAGAGTTGCTGGTGGTTTCACTCTGCCATTTCTGGCGCATGGAGAACAGAGGCAAAAACACCAATGCTGTCCTGGTTGTCTCGGTCAGCCTTCAGTAGGAACACCACAGGATGCACTTCTCTTGTAAGCAAGTGGTATCCAGGGCCACAAGGGGAATAAGCGTATCAAAGTCAAATAAAATCTGGAAGCATATGTGGAAGAAACTGCCAGGATACCAAGCCCTTTTGCTTCTCAGACTGGCATTGGGACAACTAGTTTTCCTTCTGCTGTAAAGTTCATCTAAATCTCCTCTCATGCTCAAACCAAAATGTTACCAACAATAACAGGTGATTACTCTGACAGTGGATTTAAAATTACGTAGTCGCTTGCTCTCTTTTTAAATGGCATGCACCTGCCTATTTTACAGCAGACTGGTTTGCCACTGGGGGTGTTTCATAACCCCCCCGGCTCCTTCCTTTGGACCTGGAAGTTTGCAGTTTTTGAAGCCCTCATCCAGTCAAGAGTTCGTGCTTCACAAACATGTTTTGGGAAATGAACTCTGAAGTCTGTTTCCCTAAAAGGGACAGTGAAACTGTTTCATGTAAGCATTCAGAAGATGCAGGCCTACAATTTGCAATGTGCTATTAGGTCTGCTGGCTTTTCTTGGGAGGAAGTCCATCTGTATGAAGATACAAGGCTATTTTGAGAAAAAGTGCATTATCTCTTTCCAGTGCTTTTGGATTGCTCATCTCAGACAAGTACCAAGCAGCAAATGGAGACGTTATAGCTTCTTCTAAATGGAAAGGGACATGAAACCTAATCTGCAGAAAAGCCCATCTGATTAGAATCATAGAATCATTAAGGTTGGAAAAGACCTCTAAGATCATCAAGTCCAACTGTCAGCCCAACACCACCATGCCCACTAAACCATGTCCAGAAGTGCCACATCTACAAGTTTTTTTCAACACCTCCAGGGACGGTGACTCCACCACCTCCCTGGGCAGCCTGTTCTGGTGTTTGACCACTCTTTCAGTAAAGAAATTTTTCCTAACGTCCAATCTAAACTTCCCCTGGTGCAACTTGAGGCCGTTTCCTCTCATCCTATCACTTGTTACTTGGGAGAAGAGACCAACACCCACCTCACTACAACCTCCTTCCAGATAATTGTAGAGGGCAATGAGGTCTCCCCTCAGCCTCCTGTTCTCCAGACTAAACAACGCCAGTTCCCTCAGCTGCTCCTCATAAGACCTGTTCTCCAGACCCTTCACCAGCTTCGTCGCCCTTCTCTGGACACACTCCAGCACCTCAATATCTTTCTTGCAGTGAGGGGCCCAAAACCACCCACATTGAGGTGTGGCCTCACCAGTGCCAAGTACAGGGGCACAATCACCTCCCTACTCCTGCTGGCCACACCATTTCTGATACAGGCCAGGATGCTGTTGGCCTTCTTGGGCACCTGGGCACACTGCCCACTCACGTCCAGCCGGCTGTCAACCAGCACCCCCAGGCCCTTTTCTGCCGAGCAGCTCTCCAGCCACTCACCCCCAAGCCTGTAGCGCTGCTGGGGGTTGTTGTGACCCAAGTGCAGGACCCAGCACTTGGCCTTGTTAAACCTCATAGCATTGGCCTCAGCCCATGGATCCAGCCTGTCCAGATCCCTCTGCAGAGCCTTCCTACTCTCGAGCGGATCGACACTCCCGCTCAATTTAGTGATATCTGCAAACTTACTGAGGCTGCACTCAATCCCCTCATCCAGATCATCAATATAGATGTTAAACAAGACCGTCCCCAATACTGAGCCCTGGGGGACACCACTTGTGGCTGTCTGCCAACTGGATTTAACCCCATTCACCACATTCTACTGTACGAAATTGTTGACACAGCCTACACAACCAAGTGAAAGTGGTACCCATTCTCCCAGGGCAGCTCCCAGCAGGGTTAACGTTTGTTTTTAGCAGGGCAAGGGTTTGGTTTAGGTTTTTGTTTGGTTTGTTTTTTTTTTTTTTGCTTGGGTTACTATTTCATAGGAAGAATGCAGTGTTCTGCTCTGTTGCCTTGGGAGTAGCAATTTAGGTTGCTGGTGTGAGTCCAGGCACGCTGGGACACTTGGCCCGTGGCAGGAGTAGGTGTTGCTCCCTTCAATATCTACCTGTATGTGTTCATGCGCTGAGTGGGCTTACAGAGTTAAGAGTTCATTTGCTCTTGACAGCCAACTTTGCCTGTATTGAGTCAAGGCAAAGCTTTCTTTCCTGTCTGACAGACATCTGGAGTAATCCAAGAGTTAAAAGAGGGAGATGGAGAAAGACTGTAACGGAATTTAAACTTCATATTAGCTGTTGCCTCCTGCTCCCAGCCCAGCTCCAACACCACTCATCTCTTGTCACAGCATCATCATACTTTTGTGGGCTCTGCAGTGAAGGAAAGTATTGTGCTAGGAACACTGCTTGCATCATTGCTGCAAGGTGCAAGGGATAAAAGGGAATGAAAACCTCTTCCGGCCCCCAGCACAATGCTGACTGTAAAGATGGAGTCAACCTTTGACCTCGCTTTATTTAAAGGCAGACAGTGTCTGTCCCTGCTCAGGGCAGGGTGGAGTGAAATCCTGCAGAACTCAGCCTGTAACTTTGACTCTCACAAAAATATTTTACATAGTAGGTTTATGCAAGGCTGTCAACTTTGTATTCCTCCTTAGGGTGTCAACTGCGTACTTAGTAATATAAGGAGGATGTCTAGAAAGTGATATTTTGCAGGTTACTTGAGATGCATAAATAACAATGTTTGATTGTATATTCCCATGCCACAAGCTCTTGGATCGTTTAAAAACAAGGAGGGGAAAAAAAGCTAAAAACTAATTTAGAATAAAATAGGCAGTTATGCCTGATTAAATCCTGCATTTGGAATGAAGTCTGAATATCCCAGACAAACAATATGAATATGTAAAACAATCATGAAAAAAGAAAGGAAACTGAAGCTTTTGAGCCTAGCTCATGATTGCTTCTATTTCAAATACTTTTTCATACACACAGAGGCAGGTGCTGCCAGAACCACCAGCCTTCATCAGAGAAAGCCCTATGCTATGCTGAGATTGAGCCAAAGGACTGAAATTATTTCTACTGGTGATATTCTGAATGCGTACCACGACAGTCTTAAACTAGCTCTCATATTACACTGAACTTCTTGTTTGTACAGCAGAATTAATCAGGAAAAAAGCCATCTGATGTAGTTTTCAGATTTTTTAAAATTATGGGTTTGTACTTATTGCAGATCTTCAGGAACTTCTAAATGAGTGTATGAAAACTGGAGGTGTTTATCCTTTTATTATAGGAAATGCCAAATGGATCTCCAGTATTTATTGCCTTCAGATCATCGACCAAAAAAAGTGTACAGTATGATGATGTACCAGACTACAAAGACAGGTTGAGTCTCTCAGAAAACTATACATTATCCATCAAGAATGCAAGAATCAGTGATGAAAAGAGATTCGTATGTATGCTAGTTACAGAAGATGATGTTTCCGAAGAGCCAACGATAGTCAAAGTCTTCAGTAAGTAAATCTATTTGTTACTACTGTTAACATTCATCATCATCTGAATTGTAAATTACAGAAAATTTTGTTTAAGGGAAAGATTAATGCTAAGAAAGTAAGTTTGGCTGAGTAAATTACTAAGACTAGCAAATTTCTGCAGCTTTCAAGAATGTAATCTACTGGTGGCATTTACGTAACAGGACTGCCTGCACTTGCAGTTTATTCATGATAAGTGCTGGCTCAAAGAGAATTTTGGGCTTTGATAATGACTCACTTATGTGATGTCATTTGGCCTTGGAAATGAAAAATGTAAAATTAGCACTGATTATTTTCCATTTGTTCTCTGAGAGAATATTTCTGCAGGAGGGAAGCATTAACTGTGTGCGGTCTGCAGGATTAGATCAGTGGAGAGGTTTAAACCAGTTCGATATGAACTGTGAGTGAGCGAGAGCCTGGAAGATGAGATGCTAGCCCCAAATGCTTATTTTGTCCCCTGCTGGACTACCAGGAGGAAGACCAGCCTGCAGTTCTGTTTTAGAGCACAGTGAAGTTGGTTAGCGTTTGATACCACTACAAACCGATCGCAAGGCTGATCCACAGTGTGTACCCCAGTGATGTGAGGCGCAGGCCTGCTCTGAGCTTGCACGAGAGCATGGACAAACCTGGACTCTTCCTAGTGCTGATTCAGAGCAGACATGTAGTTCCTCACGCCCTGACTCAGCTTGTGGAGGCATCCTTTACTCCTTTTTAGGGGCACAGGTCTGTTGAGGCTAAGGTTAGCGTTTGTAAGTGCTGCCCTGTGACTGCAGTGGGTATCTTCCTCAGCTTCATGTTTTTATATATGGCCTTTTTTTTTGACCTTTGTTGCTCTTCAGATGCAGCTTTACACGGAGTCAGAGTCAGTCTCTGTTGTGGGAATGCATGGCTTGCAGAGATGGGCAGTTTCAGATCACACTTCTGCTTGAAAAACATAAATTCGTGTTTTGGAAGGGCTCTCTTACTCTTCTTTCAGGGACAAGGTGTCATGGAGTCATCCGTGGTGTCTAGGCAGAAGCTTGTCAGTGGCATAAATGAGTCTGAAGTTAGATTAGGAGTCAACAGTAATTCCTGTCCCTCGCTTCACTTTCAATTTGACTGCAAGAACAATTGGATTCATGACAACAGGGAGGATCGTGCTCCAGAGCATACATAGTAAACACAGCGCTTGAAAGGAAATGATAAAGAATTAGCATGTTTACTTATTGCACAGCAGTAAATATGTAGATGAGCCAGTGGTATATGGTGAAGCAAAATGCTAACTGCTTGAATTACTGTGTACTGTACTAAATATTAACGCTATGCTAACTCAGCCATGGAGCACAGCCTGTATGTTTTATTGTATGCATTAATACTAATGGAGAAACCTTCTGTTTACTAAGGAAGATAAGAATAGAGGATGCCATGTATGTAATGTGGCTGACTTAGCACTGCAAGCAAAAATTACCTTTGCAGTTTTTCATTTTGAGTTCACAACTTTAGGGTTCTCTTAATGTTTCTTTGCATTTAGCTTCCTTGAGTCTGGTTTTGGGGGTTTCATTTTTTATTCTTGCTTGCTTGCTTGTTCGGTCAAATTATGAAAGAGTTAAGAGTAGCCTGCAAGCTTCATTTATTTAACCAGTGGAGTTTCTAACTCCTTGAACCGCAGATACAGAGCTCTAGGCTGCAGCAGTGCAAACCCTCATAAACCAAAATCTTGTGCACCTGAAGCTCAGCTGTATCGCAGAAGTTGTGACTGACTCTAAGTTTCACTGGAGCTTGTCCTGTCCTCAGCTGTGCTACCTGATTAACTGGAAACTAACGAACTGAAATGGCTCATTGCAAAGGTACCACTTGCTAGTCTTACTCAATGGACTACTCAAACAAGCTCTACCAACTTTCCAGATGGATCCTGTCAACATCTTTTTTTCTGGAATTAAATGGCCAGAGTTTTTGAAAGCAGAGCAGCCCAGTGGACATTATCTGCTGTCCTGCTACACCGATCCTTGTCTTTTGCAGGCAGTGAGCTCTCTTCCCCCCTTGTTATAGGACCTACATAGAGTTGCAAAGTACTCTGGCAAGCTCTTAAGCCGAGAGATAAGCAGTATGCTGAAGTTGCAAACCCACCAAAGTGGCCTCTGCTGCTGCCAAGTTTAAAATTTCTTCTTGCTTCATATGCTGAGCTAGTAAATGCCAAATAATTCTTTTATAGTGAATTACCTTGGTGCACATGCTGCGACTGTGGGGATTTGGCAGCAGGCGTTTCCTTTTGAACGCTGTTCTGAGAGAGCTGGTGGCGGCCTCTCAACTGGAGCATCTGCTCGGTCACCAGAGCACTCAAAATAGGGAGAGCCACACAGGGGTCACAGAGCAGGAGGTCCTCCCCTTCCCTCAGTAGGAGCATTGTTGCGGGGGGGGGGGGGTGGTTTCCAAAGCAGAGTATGCCTTTTCAAACCAGTCCTGGGGCAGATGAGAGATGAAAGGAAGCAAAGCCTAGGTGGGGGACAGTGTTGTGGTTTCTGGTTTGATTAGCTGGTGACTGTGATAGGCAGCCAACTATGGCTGTTTACAGGACCCAAAAATCTGAACCAGAAGGCCTATTAATGGTCTTGAAAAACCAAATTTGCTTGAACTGACATGAAAACGTTTTGTCCTTTACAGGTTCCTACAGAAAATAGGTTAACCTTTTTCCTGTAAAACTAACAAAACAGAAACAAACATGCACCTTTTTTTTAAAAAAAATCTTTGTTAGTCCTTTGAAGAAATTGTGATGGTTTTTGGTGTACAGCTTTGACTGTTTTGTTTGGGTTTCGGTCTTTTGCCACAAGCAAAGTTGTTTGAAAATGTCAGATGAATAGCTTCTTTTATTGCCTTTCATTTCCCTTTTGAGCTGTTCTGGTTCCATCCTGGCGTAGTCTTCCAAGTGAAGAATATCTGTGCATTTGTGTGCACACAAAGCAAATGGATTATCGTGAAGTAGGCTTGCTATCTCTGTGACAGCAGGAACAGTACACCTGCACATTAGTGACTTCATCAGTGTGTAGAGATTTTGGCAAGATAGTGTGAAGTTCGCTTTGGGCTGGGATTACTAACATATATACATTATTTCATAGGGAGCTTGATTTGGGAATAACGTTCTGTAAGCTGGCATGGTTAAGGATGTTTCAGTCTCTAAAAGTATATAATATGTATGCTTATTTAAGCAGTATAGCTAGGATGTAGAGGCTTTCCTTGACTGTATAAACACTGATTTTTTGGGGTTGTTTTTTTTTTTTCCCCTCTTCTTTTAAAATTATGGGGAAAACTGTCTCTTTTGGAGATAAAAATTTGCATTCCGGGCTTCAGGCCAAACTATTTTAACAGACAAGTTATATAGTCTCTAGAAAGTACTCTTTTATGATGGAAAGGCTGATAGATCCTCCACTTTGGCAAGCTAAGAGGTCCATCCACCATAATAAAAGTAAATAAGAAGACATACTGGCACTGAAGAAAAAGGTTATTTTTTTAAGAGAGTCATAACTATCTCAGAATCAGTTAAAGTAATTACATTTATCTCTGTCATCTGAATTTCTTAAATGTAACAGTCCCAGTTAGGAAAAATAAACATTAGAAGAATGATTAGGTTGAATTTGTTCCTTTATAATGTGACAGCTCAGCTACAGTAATATCCACAGTAAAGCTGCTTTTCTGTTGCTAAAGTTTCTGTACTGCTGGTTCCTTCTCCAGTATGTGTATCATATAAATCAGATAGATCAGATCAAGTTCTCTCCTCACAGGTGCTGAACTAGTCTGCCTGGCTAAAATATATGTCATTGTCAGAATGCATGGAATTCATTATGGGAGGTATGACACATTTTAAGGCGATGGTTTTTCTTTTTCAATCCATTCGCTAATATTGAGGTAGAAATATCTCACTTTTTCTTCTGACAAAGCATAGGTAAGACTATACCAGGGCAGATTGTTCTGTTTAGTCTCAAAGTCCATGTATCTTTTAGTAACTTTTTGTCTTTCAAACAGCTGTTTGTGCTCCCTTCACTAGTACTTTTATCCTATTTATGTTTTAGAACAACCCTCTCAACCAGAAATCTTACATCAAGCGGACTTCTTAGAAACAGAGAAGCTACAAATGGTAAGAGCAGTGTTCTCCCTCAAAGTTGTGCGCCTGAAGGCTGCCTGAAGTCCCTTTACAGTCAAGGCAGAGAGAGGTGATGGACTGACGCTCAGGGAGGGTGCATGTGCGTGTGTGCACACCTGCCTGTGAGAGATCATGGTCTGTAGCCAGGCTGAGTGCAGAGCAGTTCCCTTGCCACTACTGTATTAACCCTGCCTGATTCTGCAAACAGGCCATCCTGATCTTAGACCCATCACCAAACCCTCTTCCAAATTGTATCGAAGCCTCACTGATGGGATTTGTCCTATTTAAGAAAAATGGTTGGGGTTAAGCATTTGAACTTTCTAGAAATTTTTACCCGAACATAATGCGGAAGAAAAGCAACTAATTCCTCCTGTTTTGCAGCTTGGGGATTGCGTTGCAAGAGACAGTTATCCTGAGGGCAATGTTACGTGGTACAAAAACGGGAGAGTTTTGCAGCCTGTGGAAGAAGGTATGTTTCAATACTGGCCAATGTCCCTGAATCCACAGACATGTGTATGTATGAAGAACTGTGTTTGTAAGAGTGGCTCTACTTTAGTCTAATATATTGTTTCTTTGAGGAAAACTACTCATGGAAAGATGAAACTGGAAGGAAACTTCTAGGCTTTTCAGGGCACCCAAGCTACGCCATATAATCTCTCTCTCTCAGTTCCACCTTTAAAACCACATTATGGGGAGGAGGGTGGCCTTCGTTAATGCTGTTACAAAGCTGTTCTTGAGCCTATGTAGCTAGTAGAATCCTGTATCTAATTTCCAACTCCTTGTAAGGTATTAACTGTCTCAGTTTCACACCTGTCCAATACTGTGTTTTGGACCATGTAGATCATCATCTCCTTATACAGGTATTTGTTTTCCAGGATATTTAAGAACAACATGTTTTTCCCCCACGCCTCACTTTCAACTTTGATTTTGACAGGCTGACCAGACAATATTTTACCTTCCATAAAACAGAGAATGCTTACAAAATTAAGTTATAAATATGATCCTAAAAATTGTTTTTGCCAGCATTTTTGAAGCATTCTTTCTGTCTTACAAATTCAGCTGAGATTTGTATTTCAAAAACTACCAGTTTGCAATTAGTTTTTTGTTTTGATTTGATTTAAAATGTACGGTATGTTAGGAGTATGTTGTTGATAAAACGTTCCCAGTATATGTCAATGGCAATACTATAAGGCAGTACTAGAGGAAAACTGTTTGTACAGTGTCTTGGGTAATTTGTCATGTTGCTTGCAGGCTGATAACAAATACAGAGCAGGCAACAAAATGTAACAGAAAGGTTGCAAATTCCATCTGTGTGACGCTGAAAAAGTATTTCCTTTTCAGTTGTGGTCATAAATTTGCAAAAGATTGTGAACAAATCAACTGGACTCTTCACCATGACGTCATCTCTTCAGTACATGCCAACAAAGGAAGATGCAAATGCCAAGTTTTCTTGCATTGTGACATATTATGGACCATCTGGTCAGAAAACAATACAATCTGAACCAGTTGTCTTCGATGTTCACTGTAAGTTGTTAAAAAGCGTGTATTGCTATATGAAGTCTGCCGGGGGGGGGCAAAATCAGAGACAGTTTATAAAATTACAGAGCCATTGCTGCTTGACTGTTGAGATCATTTCTTCAAAGCTGATTTGCAGCAAGAGGTCCAAGTACATTGTAAATTTTACTTATCTTCAGATTTACCTGTGATTTCTTTCTTTCTAACAATAGAATACCGAATATCAAGATAGCATTGACAAGAGGAAAGAACTTTAACAGAAGTTAGTGGTTGATTAGAGTGACTCTCTGTGCCCCCTGAAATATGCAGTAACTACACAATACAGTTTTTGATATACTCAAATGTTTCTAATTTTTGCAGATTCAGCACCAAGCACCTAATGCTGGCAGACTACATTGCACAAAGTGCAGTAGCTTCTCTACAGCTATAAGATGCTGATTTTTACATTTAAAATGTGTCATTTGAGTATTGGTAGATTTTTCAAGTAGAGGATTTGTGTAAATAATTACTTCCAGCTGGCCTAAGTCCTAAAGCAACTTCCTTACTGTGTTACTGGCCGACGTGGAAATCGTTATTCTCTTTTGAATGAGCAAAACAGTTGACAAGGAAAGGTCAGAGGAGGTGGTAGCAGTTAGGGAGGGGGGAAGAGGCATTTCAATGTCCTGTAAAATGACACTTCTGAAGGAATGTAGAAGGGCAGCAGATTGTAGCAGAATGTGGAGGAACAGGAGATATGCAGTATGTCCAGTCAAGTGTTACCTTCCTGCACACTTCAGGTAGCACCTCAGCTTATAAAAGAAAAGTCCTTGTTTTGGGAATGACGGGGTCTAAGTATACAGTCTGTCATTGAAAAGGTTTGTAGTATATGTTGTGTAACAACTCTGTAATCCAGCTGAATACAAAGAAAGTTAGTAAGGCCCTGGATTTCTCCAGCCAGCATGCGTGCTCTGCTGCCTTGAAAATGAAAGCCATAGGCTTGAAGTGGCAGGGCATGTTCTACCTAGATGATTAGTTGCTTCTCCTTCACAGGTAAAATTTGTTGAGCTGCAGAGTAGGGGATCAGTTTTGACCTTGGTCAGACCAAATCAAACCTTGGTTTAGTCTGGAGAAGCCAAGAGTAAATTAAGGCCTTTTCACCAGCTGTTTCTCCAGAGTGACAACTGGCAGAACTAATGGAGGAGAAAACCTCTGGGACAGCAACCAGTATCTTTGGAAATAACATAGAGATTTCAAGCCTGCAGACACCTATCCCATCACTTTAAAGCTAGAGGGTGTTGGCTTTTTTTGTTTGTTTTGCTTTAAAGCTGGGTACCGAATGTCAGTATTCTTTTTTCTGTCATCTGTGGACCCCCAAGACCGTGTGTAACTCCTGCTGTGTATGGCAGATCTTCATAGGGAAGAAGTGCAATGACCAGAAGGCACTTATTGCTGTTACTTGCTAAGAGATGCTTTGCTGTCCTCATTTTCCCATCACTTCAATGCATTAGGCTACTTCACCTGTTGAGGATGAGGCTCTTGCAGATTTCTGTGATGCATATACTACAGGCACTTAGAATTAAAGGGCTGCGCAACACTGCAGAACAGTCGCTGCACCAGGTATCATGTGCATTTTGTATTAAAGATTCAATGTTTGCTAGACTAGCTCTTTTAATCCTGGTCTAGCAATACGCAACTAATTAGGATAGTTCTTCCTCCAGAGATGGGCAGTATCATTGTGCTGCTAATTAGCCAACAGTGGGAAGCAGGCACACCCATCAGTACTGAAGAGGCCTCAAGTATGAACTTTGGCTTTAGGGTACGGGGTTACCCAGTTTCCTTTCTGAGTATTTTCATTTGCTGTTAATTTCAATTCCTTACTTTGCTCAAATGCATCTCCAAATGAATTTGTGAAACTTTATTAATAGATGTCCAAAGCTTCAACAGATGAATTTTATGACTGACGTTAGTTGATGATAATGACGTCTGATTTGGTTCTGGGTTCTTTAAATTTAGTTCAGTGATCCTAATTAGTTTCTTTCTCAATAAATGTTATTTTTTTAATGAGTCAAATGTAGTGCAGATGAAGAAAAATGGCAAACTCCAACTCTACGAAATGGAAGTCCTTAATTTTTTTTTTCTAGATTGACTTTCAAAAGTATCATGTTTTGCATCTTTGAAGCACGTAGGAAAAAAGTCATAAAGAACTGCTGTTCATTCCTTGCAACTTACCCATTTATTATAAAGAAATGGGGAAAGCATGCTTAAAACTATGCCTACACAAGATTTTTTTTAAAGATTTACCTATTCAGTCAGGATCTAAGAAATGTTTTACCATTCATTTTTTTATTTTAGCACTGGGTTTTAGTGCATTCTTGAGTACTTAAGTGTTTAATAGCTAGTTGAGATCCTGGAAGCAGCCAACCATTGAAACATAGTATGAGAAGAAGAGTGAATTAACTCCTGCTGAGTTGGGTGCTAGTTTGAATTGCATAACTTAGCTCAGCTAACAGTAGTTATCAGCTCTGGTTTGCGGTTGTAGCAAGCAAGCTGCTGAAAGTAACATGAGTAATACAAGAGGACTCTTGTAGTTGGACAGTTAGATAGTATCTCTGGTATCTAAATCATCTACGGTCCAGTTACGCTGGGTTCTGCTCAGCATTAATCAATGTAAAAAGATAATGTTTGTCAGACAGGCTTTCTGATTGTGCCCTGTTGTTAAGTGCTTGTCATGTTATGGATAAACTTCTTTACATAACAGATTAGAAGCAAAGACACTTCATACTCATGCTGCTTCCAGCGTTGGTGTTTTCCTTGAAATTACACAGTTGTGGCCGTGATGGATCTGGCATAGCACCATTTATTTACTAAATAACTGCCTTTTGGTGCTGGCTCCCAGAATTTTTCTCTTGGGGAAAGGAGAATCTCAGGTTTAGAGAAGCACAAGGTAAGGTGGGCCAAGCCAGGCATATGTGCCACTGAGAGGCAAGATGCCCCTTCCCCAGGCTGCTCCTGTTTATTAGTGAAAGCAGGGGTGCACATTACTCATGCTAAGCAGCACTCACCATTGCATTGAACCAGATTGCATCTTCCTCAGAAGGGTGACTTCTTCACCTTAGAGAACAATTTAATTAGTCTTTTGCTATTTACTTCTGTAAGTTGTTTTTTTTCTAGTTTAGAGAATGAAATTAAAAATTTGCTGCTGGTTGATTGCAGTACGTAGAAAGGTACAGGAAAGACTGGTGGTTTGCAAGAATGTCATTTTTATTTAACTGTCCATTTTTAATGCAGTGCTGTTCGTCTCTGTGGGAAAGAAAACCTGTTCCAAATTAAAGTCCTAAAGCCTTCCTCATTATAATTCATCTCTTTTCAGCCTTGAGACAAAGCTTAAGGAATTCCAGGGTATATCTAGACATCTTTTATGATAACTCTTTCACATTTGGTCACCTTCACATAAAGTTGACAGAAGGCAAAACAAGTTTCTGCAGCGGACTAGCTCACCAGACAGCCCTTGAAACTGGATTTTTTTGGCCCAGCAGGGGCCCAAAGGCGTGCATGTGATTCCTGGCCAGCTACTTAATTGCATCTGTTATATTCCAAACCAGCAGCGATGCTGGACTTCCCTTTCCTGAGCAGGCAAAGTTATGCTTCAGCTTTGAAGGTACTGAGGTGGAAGCTGTTTGGCCGTGGAAGGGAGCTGAGGCTACTGCATCTGAAGGAGGGAGGATGTGCCTTGTTGAAGCCTGGTACCCCTCTTCCTACGAGGAGGAGTGAGATGCAGTGTTAGGGCTCTTAGTCATCAAGAGGCCACAGCAGAATGCAGCTCCCGTTATTGAGAAATGCCATAGCAGAAGACAGATATGATGAATGCCTTAAGGGTCAGAAGGCCTGTAGAGCACACGCTTCAATAAACACACAAAATCAGCTGTCAGGCAAGGGTTTCTCTGCTGTGTAGATTTTTTTTTTTAGTGTCTAATAAGGTGCACTGTACTGTGTCTTAATGCAGGACTGGCATCTTTGGTGGAATTTTATTTATTCATTGAAATTAAAACAGTGGGAGTTACGTGCCCATATTATTTCCTTTCATTTTGTTCAATTTACTTTGGTTTTGAAACATTATATTTAGGCTTCTACTTAGAAAGAATAGCATCTATTAAAGTATACTCTGTCTTTGCCTTAAAAAAATTATGGAAGTAAAATGTAAGTTATAGTTCAACTTCACTGAACATGACAGAAGTATGTTACATTTACAGTTCTGTTGACAATGTTAAGGGTCCTATTATGTTCACCAAATTCATCTTCCTGAAAGCCTGTAGTGATCAGCATATAGAATAGGCTAAACATGGTCGCTTAGTTCATATTTCTTTCTTTTTAATGCAAGAAAGCTATTATCTAGTACTAACGCACGGCGTTGAGAGCTTCAGTTGTTTTTCTGATTGCTGCAGTCCTCCAAACAGTGAGCTTCACAGAGGACAAGTTAATCCCTTATAATGAAGTCACACCATGAAACTGTTCATACTGATCAGGGCTTTTTTCTTTTAAGCACATGATGTGGTTGTAATCACTGCTGTTTCAGTTACAGGTATTTTGGTGAAGAAAAATTAATTTTATATCATATGGCTTCTTTGCTTCATTGGCAAAAATGTAGAAAGTATGATTAACTTCAGTTCTTTGATAAAAAGATCTACATATGTAAATACCTTCACCTGCTTGATGAGAAAATTCCATACTCTTTGGCCATGAATATTGTATGCATAGTGTTACTGTGTGGTTTTTTTTGCAGAAGCTATTAAATGTGTACATTATTTTTGCAGATCCAACAGAGAAGGTGACTATTCAAGTGCTGCCACAAAGTAGTACCATTAAAGAAGGCGATAACATCACTCTGAAGTGCTCAGGAAATGGCAACCCTCCTCCGCAGGAGTTCCTGTTTTACATTCCAGTAAGTCCTGCCTCGCTGTCCCTGTGTAGTGAAATACTGTGTATCATCCCTTCCTACAGACATTGCTACATGTCAGTGTATAAGTGATTTTATAACACATGAAGGAAGGAGTTTGATGCAACAAAAACATCAGCCATTACATCAGACTCTGAGAATGCCTTACTTGAGTCGGCAAAATGTTTTGAAAAAAATTCTCCTTTCCCCCACCCCACCTGAAGTTTTTTGGGCTTCATTGCTAGGCTTCATTTCCCATCGTCAAATATTTTTATAACAAGCAGTTTTGACTTAAGGCGGTTTAGCATCGTGAATGAAAACATCTTGGCTGTTGTCATAACAGACAAAGATCCAGCAGTGACAGTACAGGAAATTAATTCAGCTATTTTTTGGACTTTCACAGATGAATCTTTGTGTGATTTTTTTTTTTTTTTTTTTCTTTAATTAATTGTTGGGTGGCATAGCACCACGAAAAAGAACAAGTGTGACAGCACAGGAGAAAGTGTAGAACAAATCTGTCAAATGAATAAGATGCAGATTGAGAAAAATAGAGGCTTTGTTACCATTAATCTTCTTGTATTGGTGAAATCCAGAGACAGCTGTGGCTTTATATTCTAAGATTCCTAGTCCTGCTTCCCATGTCCTCCTTCTCTCCAGTTTTTTGTTCCTAAAGCAGTAGTGAGCAGAGCTGATCTTGAGAGGCCAAAAGCAGTGGCATGCTTTCAGGTATTTCAAAAACTGCATGTCACCTTTTGAACATACTCATCTACCTGGACTCCTGGCATGTTTGAATTGCTGAAGAGCAACAAGGGAAACTGGGAGCTGAAGTTCTCTTATCTCAGAAAGCTATTTAGATTCAGTGAGTCATCCTAGGACCTCACTATATGCCAGGGGAAAAGTGTATGGTATCTCTCCTTGGTCTACTATTACAGTGAGTGATCTAAACACCCAAGTTTGTCTTATCTTCAGTCTCCCTGCTACTAGTTCCTTCTCTCAAGGAGAGCTGGAATCTGAGATTTCTTTGCAAGACTTGCAGGCATCGTAAATCTCTTTCTGGATTCAGAGATATGAATTAGGGTTTCATTCTGTGCGTCTTTCAAAGCTGATCTAAGTCAGTCAGTTGTAATCAGGGGGAAACTGGGGAACTGGACAGCCAGGAAGCAACACTTGCTGTCTTAATTCAAAACACCGGTTTTGGTAGATAACTGCAGATAAGGTAGTGTATACCCTGATGGGCTCCATACCATGATGTGGCTAGAGCAAGGTTGGCTTGTGCTGTTTAAAAATCTGTAATGCAGTACACCTCAATTCATTATTTTTCCTAAAAATAAACTATTATTTCAGATGCAGGTTTAGAAAAACAATATGAGTTGCTGTTGTGATTTCTGCAACTTTTCTTTGTTTGTAGACTGTTGCAGTCTTTTGTTTTCTCCCCTTTTTCTTTATGCTGAACTTTGAAATTTTGTTCTCTTAAAATAAGTTATTCAATTAAGAGAGTAAGCTCTTTAATTTTAGGTGTTTTTTGAAACTATGGTGTCATTCAGGAAATAAACCTTAGTATTATTAATATGTAACTACACTTCAGTGATGCTACGTCTATACATATTTTGGAGTATTTCACCATCCTTATGATAAAAGAAATCCTGAACAAAAATTAATGTTTTTTAGCAGGCCCATATTCAATAAATACTTTGTTTCCCGTCCACAGGGAGAAACAGAAGGTATAAGAAGCTCAGATACTTACGTAATGATAGATGTGAGACGAAATGCAACAGGAGAATACAAGTGCTCTCTGACTGACAAAAGCATGATGGACTCTACCACCATCACTGTACACTGTAAGTTGTTGCATTTTGCACTCCTAGTAAGGATACAAACCTGTCTTGGACTTTCTGGGATGGTCTCTGCTTTACTTAGGTAGATTAGTCCAGTTAACCTCCAGGAGAACTGAATGATGGTAGTGGGTTTGAAGTAGTGTCAGGTAATTGTTTTTTTTCCTAGTGTATTTCTGTTTGGAAACCTCAACTTTCTCGTATGTAACCTTTGACTAGTATATGATGTTATTGCACTGCCACATACAGTGAAAATTCTGGATTTTATGTTTCACTTGTGAACATATATATGGCAAATTATTCTCCTCCAGCTGTGGTGAATGTACTCAAACACACCTACTGGTATCACTGAAGGTCATTCTTCATGGTCAAATTCACATTAGTCTGATATCCTTTCATCTTGCCTCAATGAGGTTAACGTGTAAGGAGTTGGAGAAGAGACTTAGGAATTCATTATGTTCACATAGGACAAGTTGCTTTTTTCATTTTTCCCAGAATCATGAGAGCTCCATGACAGCTGAGGTTTCTTTGGTTGGATACTCAAACTTTATCAGCAACAGTTTAAAAGCAGCCATTGAACTGGTTGAACCATTGAAGGAATGGTAGCTCTTTGTCTCTTTATGTGAGAAAACAAGAGCAAGAACTCTTTCAAACTTTCCTGTACTATCACAGGCTGTGAAAAGAGACTCAGGCTAATGGTACGAGGTTTCCCTTAAAAATGTTGATTGTCTGTAGCATTCCCAGTAGCATAAATACCTTTACAGGTTCAGAGGGACATGATTGGTAACAAAGTTTAAAGGCTTCCACGGTAGTTATACTTTACATAAAAAGAAACTTCATGTTTGCATAGTTGGTTTTGATTTTTTTTTTTTTGGAAGAGGTACAATGCATGCAGAATATACCTGTACATGAATAATTACACTATTCCATTTAATAAATATTTTGCGTTTAATAAGGTCACCTGCTGTTTTCCTAGCTGCCCCTTCTCTTTGCCAAGAGTCATGGTGTGTCACATCTGAAGAGGGCTCCGTACTACTGACACAAGCTGCCCAATATCAAAGGTGGCTTACTGGTAGTTTGCTGTGTTATAATTGACCCTTTTATTTTACTCCAAGTGGATTGCCTGTCTACTTGTACTTCCATAAATAGTTACACAAAGGAATGGCTTCCTCAGCTCCAAGTTATTTATAACAAGCCAGTTTTCTTTTCTCTGCTGTTTTGTCTGCATGTCAGACGAGCTTTACTACACGAGAGGGGCATGTATTTTCTTGACAGAAGTCTTTCCAGGGTTGGCAACTAGTGCAGCTACTCAGAACTCATAGGTACAATCTAGTACCCTACTGCTTCACTTCACTTAGGGTTCATTTTGTTTTGATTTGTTTTTCTTAAACACCTCCATCTTCAGTAAAGCCTTTGGTTAAGTGAGGAGCAGTGGCCTGGAGTAATCGGAATGCCCAGACCGTGTCCTGTCTTTAAGCTACTTTGATGTCTTGCCTTGTGCTGGTCTAAAGCATTTCTGCAGTATGTTTTCTTGTGAGGAGAACTCCTCTGAAACAGTCATAAAACTCACAGAAGCTTTATGATATCCTCCTTCATCTTTCAATTTCTTACTTTATATTAATTTTCCAGAATAGCTCAGCAATTTTTAGTGCTTTCTCCTTCTAATGTACTTAATTTTTGATGTTAGATCTTCAGAATTTTTTTATGCCTCTATGGTGGTTTTTGTCCTTCAAATAATACTTATGGACACCTATCAAATCCTACTTTTTACTCCCTCTTTTGCTTTATTGCTTACCTTTTCACCTATCGACGAATACTCCTGTCTGTGCCATTACACTGAAAATGCCTTCATTTGGAGTCAGGTCTTTTCGTTTCTTCATATCCGATTTTGACACTTCAGATTTTTTTAATTTTCACTTCAAAAAAAAAAAACCCAAGCTATATTATAATTTTAGTTTAAATCTGTGAAAGTGTTGATAGTAATTTGTTACATTTTAACTATAGTGCTTTTTTCCCAAACAGATTTTATTGAGCATTATATTTACACTGGTTCCTTTCAGTGTCTAGGTAGGGGAAGCTTCTTTCTGGGGTGGAAATAGG